AGTGTAAAAAATGAGGGCAAAATAAAGACATTTCTAAACATAAACAAATAGAACTTGTTACAGCAAACTCTCCATAAAGGAAGTTCTAAAGCATGTACCTCACTTAGAAGGAAAGTGATAACTGAAGGAAACATCTGAGGTGCAAGAAGAAATAATGAACAAATAAATAGTTAAATATATAAATAAATGTAAACAAATATTAACTCTAAATAATAATAATAACAATATCTTGTCCAGTTTTAAAGAGAGATGAAAATAAAACATATTAAACAGTAGTATATAATTGGGGAGTGGGTTTAAATGGAATTCAACTGTTTTGAGTTCTTGTATTGCTTAGGAAGCAAGCAGGTCACTGATTAAATTTAGGTTTTGAAAAGTTAATGTGCATGTAATAATTTCTAGCCTATCTTCTTGTAGTGAAAAAAGGTGTAAAACTTTCAAGCTAGTAGAGAATAGAGCAGAACAAAAATTTGTCAGTCCAAAGCTAGTGAGCAGAGGGAAATAAAACACAGAAGAGATAGAACAACTAAAAAGCAAAAAATAATATCATACATACAAGCCAAAATCTATCAGTAATCACAAATATAACTTAAATTCTCCAGTTTACAAACATTACAGATTAAAACTATAAAAACAGACAAAATAACCTCTACAACAAACCCCTATGACACAAGTTTACCTATGTAACAAACCTGCACATGTACCCCTGAACTTAGCAGTTAAAAAAGAAAAAGAAAAAAAATAATAATTATATATATATATATATATAATGTAGGTAAAGGATGAAAATTATATTTTAGTCAAATATGAATGAAAAGAAAACTCAAAAAAATTATGTAAATATCAGATTAAATAAACTTTGAGGCAAATATATTCGCAGAAATGAAATTGAAAGTTCAATTCACCAAGAAAAATTTACTATTAAAAAAATGTAGTTATTTAAAACAGTAGGAGATTTTTCCTGGGTATGTTGATTTCTCCTTGTTCTGTGATTTTTTGCTATATAATTGCTGAGTATAGAAATACATTTGCATAAGTAACTAATAAGCAGATAAATCAGTAAATTATAGAATATTTGAATGAAACAATAAGCCATATTTAATGGATGTAACATATAGAACACTGAACATATTACAACAGGGTAGATTTCTTTTGTTTAGCCCACATAGAATATTTATAAAACTGAACTGCAGACTGGACAATAAAACAAGACATATTTCAAAGAAAATGAATCACAGAGATTTTTTTCTACGATCAGCAACATTAAAATGGAAATAATGACAAAAGATAGCAAAATAAATTCTGTATGTTGGAAGTTAAGAAACATTGAAAAAATTTAAAATATATAGAATCAATAATCACTACCTATCAAATCTTGTGGGGTGCAGTTAAAACAATACCTATCATTTTATAGCCTTAAAAGATTACATTAGAATATAAAAGTGGCTAGTATTTATTGAGCTAAGCATCTGTCTTTAGAAGCTGGAAAAATAACAGCAAAATAAGCTCAGAAAATGGATAGGCAGAAGACAGTAACAAAAGTAGATATAGGGAACCAGTTAAAGACTAGTGAAATGTCCTGTTGGAAGAGGCTCTTTAGTGATATGAGAGATGGAGAAAAGATCAACTCTAGAAATAATATGAGGCAGGGAAGCAAATCTCTGTGAATTAATTGATATAGGAGAATGAGGGAAGGGAAGTTGTAGGATTATTCCCCAACTCTGGAATTGATTCAAATTATGTTTCATTGGAAATTGATGAACAACTTGGCCAAGTGTAGAAAATGGAAGTGAAAGGAGGTATCATTTATTGAATGCAAATGCACATACCATTTTTGAACAGCCAGCACTGTACCATTCTGCACATTGGTCTTATTAATCCTCACAATAGCTTTTTGAGGTGAATCCATTAATATACTCCTTTGAGCTAAGGCTTCAGATGTATTAACTAGCCAAAAGCCATACAGCTTATGTATGAGTAAACAGAGACTTAATTTAGGTGTTGCATTTAAAGTTCATATCCATTCTTGATTTTGATTCAGACATGTTACATTTGAGTTGTCAGAAAAAAACTAAGAACATTGGGCAAAATACATATGAGCTGGCCAACAAAATAAAAGTAGCCAAATATAGGATGAAGATATATTCCAAACTGAGAAATTTCATTAGCATATTACTAAATTGCATCTATTAAATTTTCTTGTGGTTCACTTTATTTTCCATGATGATATAGGGGTACTTCTTTGTCCAATAATAACTATAACGCAGGTTTAAAAAGAAGCAGGAACTTGATAAATGTTGTTCTTACAAACGACAAATCATTTCAATGTGTTCTGCTTGTTGACTTATGAATCACTTACAGAATTGATTGCAACTCTGTGGAAGTGGAAATAAATGAATCAAACTCAATTCAGTGTCCTTAGAAGTCTCCCAAACCAAAATTTGCTGCAGTCTTTTGGCCAACAAATTAGAGTGCTTCATCAGAGGTAACACAAGGCTTGATGGTAAGCAGTCTCTATCTACTTAGTGAAATAATCTTGAAAAATAATCTTATCAGAAGAGGAAAACAGGAATTGTTTAGGGGAATTTTCTATGGATAATAACTTTACATGAATAATTGGTTTTTCCACAAATTCTTTCATGCCTGTATAATCATTCACAATAAGGAAATAAGTCAATTGAATGCATTATTCTGCCATGTTAATTTTGGACAGCAAAATTGCTTACTATATTCTAAAGAACATTTACCCACACATGGCTGCTTCTTACTGGTGAAACCACAAAGATTATTACAGTAAAATGAAAGTGCAATAGGACTCAGAAGGAAGAATATATTTTTTTTTTTCCAAGATGGATTAGAGACTTAAATGTTAGACCTAATACCATAAAAATCCTAGAGGAAAACCTAGGTAGTACCGTTCAGGACATAGGCATGGGCAAAGACTTCATGTCTAAAACATCAAAAGCAACGGCAGCAAAAGCCAAAATTGACAAATGGGATCTCATTAAATTAAAGAGCTTCTGCACAGCAAAAGAAACTACCATCAGAGTGAACAGGCAACCTACAGAATGGGAGAAAATTTTTGCAATCTACTCATCTGACAAAGGGCTAATATCCAGAACCTACAAAGAACTCCAACAAATTTACAAGAAAAAAACAAACAACCCCATCAAAAAGTGGGCAAAGGATATGAACAGACATTTCTCAAAAGAAGACATTCATACAGCCAACAGACACATGAAAAAATGCTCATCATCACTGGCCATCAGACAAATGCAAATCAAAACCACAATGAGATACCATCTCACACCAGTTAGAATGGCGATCATTAAAAAGTCAGGAAACAACAGGTGCTGGAGAGGATGTGGAGAAATAGGAACACTTTTACACTGTTGGTGGGATTGTAAACTAGTTCAACCATTATGGAAAACAGTATGGCGATTCCTCAAGGATCTAGAACTAGATGTACCATATGACCCAGCCATCCCATTACTGGGTATATACCCAAAGGATTATAAATTATGCTGCTATAAAGACACATGCACACGTATGTTTATTGCAGCACTATTCACAATAGCAAAGACTTGGAATCAACCCAAAGGTCCATCAGTGACAGATTGGATTAAGAAAATGTGACACATATACACCATGGAATACTATGCAGCCATCAAAAAGGATGAGTTTGCATCCTTTGTAGGGACATGGATGCAGCTGGAAACCATCATTCTTAGCAAACTATCACAAGAACAGAAAACCAAACACCGCATTTTCTCACTCATAGGTGGGAACTGAACAATGAGATCACTTGGACTCAGGAAGGGGAACATCACACACAGGGGCCTATCATGGGGAGGGGGGAGGGGGGAGGGATTGCATTGGGAGTTATACCTGATGTAAATGATGAGTTGATGGGTGCAGCACACCAACATGGCACAAGTATACATATGTAACAAACCTGCACGTTATGCACATGTACCCTACAACTTAAAGTATAATAATAAATAAATAAATAAATAAATTTAAAAAAAAAAAAAGGAAGAATATTTTTTAAAAGTTATTTCTAGAACATGGAGTCAATTTTCAGAATATAGCAGGTAAAGTTAAAGGAACAGAAACTTAACTTTTTCCAGGCAACTCTCAAATATTCAAGGATCAAAAAACAAAGCTGTATTCTATTACAAGAAAATGTAATATCTCTCCACTAAAAACAGCGGGCATTTGAGCTCAGTAATGAGGAGGCAGAAAACATTTTAATCTTGTTTTACAAATGAAGGTAAGTGAAGTAAAGTCTTTCATGTATGACAACTATATAGCAAAAATTATAAGAAAAACATCATAAGGGAGAATGAACACATGTTAAAACAATGAATATATGAAGTGTTAATATTTTCCATATATATTATTCTATTTTTTTATTGTTCTTATTTCTCTGCAGGATTTATTTATCCCTTAAGCAAATTTCTATACCAACAAAATGTAATCTTTTAAGTGCTCTCTTACAAATGATATCAGGATTATCAGCAGCCATATATTAAGCCAAGAGGGAGAAGGGAGGGAGAAATGGACCACGAGTTAGGACACTTTGGTAAAAGTTGTAGTTTCACCAATGAGGCCAGTACTATACACTACTTATCAATAGCCATTTTGCCCCCCTCTGTGCTTCCACACCCTGTTTTAGTCAATATTTATCTAAATGTACAATGAAATATAACTTTACAGTGTGAATTTAATAGCTAGGCTTATTAATTTATTTGCTAAATATTTATTAAGTATCTGTTACAGACCAGGTGAGAAGCTTTGCAATATAATACTAAACATGTCTATCCCCTCAAGTAGTTGTATATTATAGGTAACATTTCTATCATTGTATATTTTTCATGTTCCTTTTTATGAACAACATGGACTTTCATTTTTCATTCTGTCAAATCTAAAAATATCTTTTAATTGGGAAGTTTAGATCATTTACATTTATTATGATATATTTGGTTTTCTGTTGCTGTAATAGAATATATTCGAGATTGGGTAATTTGTCAAGGAAAGATAAAAGTTTTCTTTGACTCACAGTTCAGGAGGTTGGGAAGTCCAAGACTGGCGGCCAAATCTAGTTAGCTTCTGATGAGGGCCTCTTGCTGTGTCATAACATAGCAGAGAAGTGAAAGGGAAGCAGGCATCTGTGAGATCACAAAAGCACACAGGGAAAACTCACTGTAACAACCTGCTCTCCCAGTAACTAACCCACTTCTGCTATAATAATATGAACACATTCATGAGGGCTCCACTACTGTGACCCAAACACTTCCCAGTAGGCTTCACCTCCAAACACTGCTGCCGTGATAAGGAATCTTCCAACACATGAATTCTGGGGAGCACACACACAAACCACAGCAATATATAAACACACTTGCACATACATAAAACTTTCTATCTACTCTCTATATTTCTTATCTTCTATTTTATATTTGTCATCTTCTTATTTCTCTATGTGGTTGTCTGAGAATTTATTCAGGCTTATATTCTAAAGATTATCTCTTCAGCTTTGACTAATATTCTGTATAACCAGGTATGAAGTTTTTAATTTAAAAATTTAATTTCTATCTAAAATTTCTATTTTGTTCTTTTACAGATCTGCCTAGTAATTTTGGTGTTCTCTTAATTCTTGATCATTATTTATTTACCATTTATAGAATTTTATGAGATACAAGTACAATTTTGTTACATGGAATTATTGTGTAGTGGTGTAGTCAAGGTTTTTAGTGTATTCATTATCTGAATAACAAACATTGTACCCTTTAACTAAGTTTACATCACCTACCTCCCTCCTACCCACCCCCAACCTTCCAAATTTCCATTGCCAGCATCGTCACCATTATTCAATACCGTATGCCCACGTGCACAGATTTAGCTCTCACTTTTAAGTGAGAACATGTGGTATTTGTATTTTCGTATCTGAGTTGTTTCACTTAAAATAATGGTCTCCAGTTCCATCATGTTACTGCAAAAGACAAGATTTCATTCTTTTTATGGCTAAATAGTATTCCATTGTGTATATATGCATCATATTTTCTTTATCCAATCGTCTGATTGTTGATGGACACTTAGGTGGATTTCATATCCTTGCTATACAGTGAATCGCGCTGCGATAAACATACAAGTGCAGGTATCTTTCGATATAACTTATTTTATTTTCTTTTGGGTGGATACTCAGTAGCAGAATTTCTGGATCAAATAATGGGTCTATTTTTTATTTTCTATTTTACTTCTTGAAAATTTTATACATGTTTATTTTATATAGAGAACCTGAAAACACTAATATCTGAAGCTCTTAGATGTCTTGTTTACTAATTTTGCTGGTTCTCTACAGTGATTTCTCATCTTGTGGGTTTGAAAATGCATTCATGTTCAAGTTCATATTTTATTGAACTTAATCCAGAATTATAGGCAACTACAGTGGAAATGGTTTCTTCCAAGAGAATTTAGTTATTACTTTACAGGGCATCAAAATATGCTACTAATTGTCTATGGCTTCATTTCCTTATTGCATCACTAATCATCAGGACTCCATTGCCTTTCATATTCACAATTTTTTCTTGGGGAGGCTGGGGGCTAGAGGTAAGCTTGTAGGTTTCATTACTTTCAAGGAATACAGGGAAAAAATTTATTTTTGTAACATGTAGGATCTTGTATTTTAGCAGACAGGCTTTTCATAAAATCTAGTCTATCACAGTACCACCAAAAATAGTCCCCTTTATTTTTCCAACTGAGGTAGTGGAAATATAACATTTATTTACCCAGTAATAAATAGATTAAATCCCATGTGCTCAATTAGTTACATAATTAAGACTGTAGTAATAGGCAAGGAGCTTCAGTAATACAGAATTAAAGCTGGTATTGGTAGACATCTGTATACATCTAGGTGAGTTATTTTAATTGAGTACACAAACATTTTAATTAGGATGATATCTACAGAGAGAGTTTTGTTTTAAATGAGGATGAGAAGGTAGAAAAAATAGGATGAGGAACAAACTTTTGAACAAAAATTATATAAATTACATAGTAGTTATATGTAGTATAATTACAAAAATATTTTCATTTGCATATGTTTCTAAATCTGGTAAGTCACTTTCTTTCTAAAAACCCTTAAATGATGCCCCATTTTTAAAGGATAAATCCGAACTCCTTAGCATAAATACTAGGAATGTTATGACCTGTTTCCTCATCAGATCTTATAGTTCACCACTCTCCACTTCATAGTTTACACTCCATCTATATTGAATTACTGAATGCAGCAGGCATCTACCTAACCAAAAGCTAGTTGTTTTCCTCTGTTTTGCAAACAGAATCTTGAGTTTGTTGCAATATTGAGAAGAGATCTTTTTCTGTCAGAGAATTCTGGCCTATTATGTAATATGGAAATGGGCATATTCCTGAGTTCTGGGTAAGAAGAAGTCTTCTAAAAAATATTGGGAAAAGATCTCTTATGAATAAAAGAAAATATCCATTTTCCCTGTATTTATTTTGCTTGTGAAAAACCAAGATGCCTAGCGCTACAGTAGCTATCTTACAACCATGAGACAATAAGACTGGAGCCCAGATCTATCAGACTGTAGTGTCCACATTCTTCTCACTACCTCTTTGACTCTTGAACAACCTTGAGGTCATTTGGCTAAGATTGCCATCTCATCTGTGAATAAAATGAACAGAAATTTCAGGTTTAATATGCCAAAGCTGAATTTCAGATCAATCCCACTGCTACCCGACACATGAAAGAACAATCTTGATTCACCTACAATGTTCCCATTGTAGCTGCTGTGACTCTATACAATTTTAGTTGCTGAGGCCATAAACCTTGAAATTGTCTTTGACTTCTCTTTTTGCACATGTCCCACAGACAATCTGACAAGATAAATCTAGTTGACTCCACCTTCAAAATGTATCTGGAATTTGATCACTTCTTATCACAGATCCTGCCACCATCCATGTGTGAGGCACTGTCCCTTCTCACCTGGATATTTGCAACAGCCCGCAAACATAGCAGACAGAGTGAGCCTTTACAAAAGTAATCCAGATAATGACATGCCTATGCTTAAAACCTTCCAAAATCCCTTCAACGATTTCTATGTTCTGTCCATTAGTCCCCCATGGACCTCACATCACAGACCCTGGAATGTTAGAAGTTAAATGACTTACCCAAAGTCACAGAGCCTATAGTAATAGGGCTAAGGCTAGAACCCAACTTAAGGCAACAAGATGAAGATGGCAAGTTTCAGGTTCTTATGTTATATTTAAACATGAGTAATTTATCTAATTTAATTCATAATAAAGAAAATTTGGGAAAGGACTGTCTTCCCTACCAAAATGAAAGTTGATCAAAGGCAATGATAGCCCTTATGATTCTGGAATATTCTCAGGTTATTTCTTAAATTACTTCTCATAATGACCAAGTGAGCACAATGACTTTCTAAATGTATACTGTGTTCTATGTAATGGATATCATCCATTAATAATCATCAGAGTCAGGATTCTCCTACTATTCTCCATTGTGCAATACCCAGCAAATCATTAAGAAAGTCTTCTGATAGTGTATATATTTGTAACCAAGTGCCTAAAAATTACATGTATAGTGAATGAAGAAAGTATTAGTTCAATAATATCTTTATACCTCTCAAACTCAAACACCTTCTTCACTAAAGTCTCCTTGGCTAAAAATGTCCCCTTCCTCTCATCTTCCCTTCTATTCCTACACACATGTGAAATAAACTCTGTTAACCTGAACTCCTTCCTTTGGAAAACAAACATTAATTATCCAGTTTGCACTAGGGCTGGTTGAAAATGTTATTAATCTATGGTGGATACTGAAAATGGAAGTCCCTTTGCTAGCACTGCGTAACATGAGGCTCTCTTTCAAGGGGAAGCAGGCCCCAAATTACAGATTCTCCCACCCTGAATTAATGCAAGTTGAGTAGATAAAGTTATAAGGCAAATGCCCATTGCCCTTTGGCATGATTCCAATCCTACTTGATTCTAGGGAAGAGGGTTGTTGATTTCTGATAGGTAATATTTTTACTAGCAGCCCTCACCAACACAGTATCTTGGTAGTGGTAAGAGATAGATATGTATAGACCACCAAAATAAATATTGTGTTCTATGTTTACATATCTATAACCCCAAAACTCTGCATCAAAAATGACACTCCTTTCTTGAAGTTAGCCGATATCACGCCACTGCACTCCAGCCTGGCTACAGAGCAATATTCCATCTTAAAAAAAAAAAAAAAAAAGGAACATAACTGGTACAATTTTTAGTTTAATTCTCTGAGTTTAAAGTCTCTTGAATACTTTGTGCCAGGTCACACTAGACAGCAATCTTTATAGGTCACTCATTCTTTCTCATTTCATTGATGAGGATCAAATCATTTTCCCAAAGGCACAGAACAGAGAATGCCAGCACCAGACCCCATGATCCCATCACCCAATGTAGAGTCAGACAAGGCCATTTGTGATATTCTGATAACAACGCATCCGTGGAGAGAAGAGGAACCAGAGGCCCTAAAAGCTTTGCTCCAATTTCCTTGATTGAAAGTAACATCAAAATTGCTCCTTATTTTTCACAGTGAAAAAATGCTGCTCTTGAAGAAGTTTTTAAAAGGTTATATTAAGGGACGTTATCTGCGAAACAAACATTTCCCAGGTTGTCTACCATCATAACAGTCACTTGCATTCAAGAGCGTAGTTTGTTTTTTATTTCACTTAAAGGATTTTGTTCAGAAATTGGAAAATAGATAGAATATCCTCAACGAAGAGCTCCTTTAATCTTTTGAAATATAAGCTAGAAAACAGAATCAACAAAAATCTTTTAATAACAAGATGATAGTGCCTGGGGAGGTTACCGAAATGCAGGACACAGTGTTTCCTGATGGTTTGAATGAGACTTGCTGTAGAGAAAAGGGCCAAAGAATGCACTTTAGACATTGTTGACTCACTCCTCTCAAGGCCCTTTAAGAACATGAAGGAAGAACAACAACAACAACCAAAAACTACGTACTAAAATCCAAAGGACCTGGTACTCATACCAAATCTGCCACCACTACTGTGGTACTTTGAGTAAGTTGTTTAACCTCTGGAAGGTTTGATAAATGAGAGGGTTAAACCTAAGTGATCATATAAGGTTTTAT